TTTTTTCCATCTCTGTAATAGCCAACACGAGATCTGTAATGCTAATAAACTTGTGGATTGTTCCACAACTGAGTTATATATTTGTTGAAACCAATGGCATTTCTTAGCCTGAGGATTGATACAGTTTGGATACCACACTGTACCAAGATTTCAAATATACAGTACATTAATCTAGGTTTAGAAACTTTTGAGTGGGGGGAACAGACAGGGGTACAATTTTAAAGGCGCGGGGGGGGGCGCATATTTTTTAAGTGAGTAGACTTACATTTAAAGACCTAGTTCTTGGTAATAATAAACTGTACATTATTAATATTTGCATTGTTTATTCTGTGTAATAAATAAATAAACAACTTTAATAAATATTCTAACATGAAATAATTTCAGTCAATATGTTTTGAGTGCATTTGTGATCAGTGTGCGTCTCTCCATGGTAGTTTTCCGTGTCTTTATAGTCATTTTGGGCCTGTACATGTAGGCCTGTTCAGTCATCCATCCATGATACTAACAAGACTACTACTTATCGCATTCTGAGGGGGGCCACCAATTTCTGGGGGGGTAAATCAATCAATCTATGAACAGTCTATTGTCTACATTATATAATCATAAATATGTACGGCCTTTCTCCTCCTAAGTGTTCACTGCTTTGTATTCCCTGGTTCTCCTTTCCTTTTTTTATGGATAGTGGCCTGGGGCTTTCGTTTAGACTGATGCCTCCACATCGCCCACTCCTTCACGTATGTAGCTGCATGCAGGGACAGGGATAAAAGACAAGCAGTATGTTGCAAGGCTGAAACTGAGGTCCCCCCCCCCCCCCTGTCTGTTGCTCGCCCACCTTCTCACTGGCAGGAAGAGAAGTCTCCTACGCCTTAGTGGTGTGGGACTGAAGATGGAGAAATCACACTCAGTGTGTTGGCAGCTTCAGAGGCCCTCTGGAGGCACTGATTTGGAACTGAGGCAAAGATGAACATGTCAGCAAGAGCGTGAAAATTAATGAGAGCAAGAAAGAAAAAACGGGGAAGAGACAATGCTGTTTTGGATTAGTTATGTAAGCAATCAATAAGTTGTGTTCTTAGTGATCTTTTATCCAGTTATGTAATAGTAAATGAAATTACAGAGTCAACTTCTCACTGATCACCATTGTGTGAGGAAACAACAGAGTTGTCTCAGGAGCTCATAAATACTTTAAAAATATATAACCTTCTTGTTTTCTTCAGCACTGTGTACTCAAGTTAAAATTGGCCCACCCCACAGCCTGATTAATCTGCTACGGGGCCCCGGAGCAAAATTAGCTTTTGGGCCCCTATTAACACTTCATCCCACGTTCTGTGCAATGTTTTTATACAGGAATACTACCTGCCCACAGATTTGCAGTGTGCTAATTTGATTAAACACAATTTAGGAATATGCAACATGGAAGCACAAAACTAAAAATAATGAAGCTCTTAGAAAAGGAGCCTTGTGGTACAGTAGTTCAGTTCAATACATCCTCCAATCTCTGTACTGTATGTATGTATGTTATGCAATGAAGGATTAAAACCTGGACCAGCGACTTACCTTAAGACCCATATCGTGCTGAAGCACATAGTACTAGGAAAGAAATTTGGATAAAAGTGTCGAGCAAATTAAATACGTTAACTTATAAATCAGTGACCACCTGTCCTGTCAGCTGATGTATCTGTATCCTAACTATCCCTTCATTATTACAGACATTGTCAAAAGCCATCAATGTCCCTTTTTATAAGCGCCTATGAAGTGAATCTGAAAGTTTGTGCATGTTTGTGCACCTAATGTTGGTAATCTACATATAAGTACAGTTTTATTCACGACTAATTGTACATGACATGTAGTCTCCCACCCAGTGTTGCACACATGAGAAAAACCTTCAATGTCTCATTACTCTCTTCATCCATCTTAACAAAGAAAGCTGACATAAGTAGGTGTTACCTGTAAAACAATGGTGGGTAATTATTTAAAAGGTGCATATGGGCTCATCAGGTTCTGCATTCCAATCCAAGTCCATGATCATTTCTTATTAAAAGACACCAACCAGCAAAACAAAGATCCAAAAGCATGTACAAAGGAATGTATGTGTATTTATCACAGACACTATTAGTTACAAATTAATGATGATGTTGGTAAGATTGTGATAACACACAGGAGGTTTCATTGTACTGTAACGTACAATACTGGCACTGTTATAGTCATTGAACTATCAACATTATGTCTGCAGACAGAGTTCACTGTGTATATTCTTGGTTTTGTAAGTATGTGTTAGTGTTGCAAATGTATAGATTTCCAAAATCTACTTGAGACTATTGATACTTTCAACTATTTTTCATGCAGTGGTGGAATGTACAATTACCAAGTACTGTGTTTTTTTGTGCTTATAATTGACAAATGTAGTTACATTACAGATTTGCATTATGAAATACAATCACCACAAATATTCTGATATATTATTATAGATTAAGCTACCAAGCAGTACATTAAATAGTTAGGATTAGCCCCTACCTTTGCCAGCTGCAACATTAAAGTAATGTACACATTACTCACTCGCTAACTCATCATCAACCGCTTATCCTGTGTATAGGGTCGCAGGGGGCTGGAACCAATCCCAGCAGGCACTGGGCAAGAGACAGGGTAGTAGCCTGGACAGGTCCCCAGTCCATCACAGGGCCAACACATGTACACATTAATGCATCAATAATAGAATCAGATAATATAATATTCTGAAATGGGTCATTCTGCATGAATACTTTAACTTTTGGTACTTTGTGTAGATTTTGCTGCTAATATGAATTCAAAATTTGAATGCAGTTTTAACTCTAACAGAGTATTTCTACAGTGCTGTAGTACTTGAGTAAAATATCAGAGTACTGCTTCCACAACTGATCCCATACTCTTTAGGAATTTTGTTTGCATATAATCATTCAGTGGCCAGCTCTGTCTAAAATGACCCAGTTGCTTATATTTTATTACAAGTGCTTTGATAAAATGGAGGGGGGGTACTTTGTTCATAATTAATTATAAAATCTTAATTTACATGTTGTTACAGCAGGAATCCAAAATCAGCAACATTTGTATTTATTTTGGTTGACTCACATCCCTGATTAGTTTTTAACAGTATTTGATTGATGTGTGCACTCTTTCCCCCAGCAGTTCATATAAGGTAATTTTCTCTTCACTGTTGCAAAACAAGATTTAAAAGCCTTAAATGAGAAACTAACACGTGGCACACACTATGTTAAATTCATTGACTTCTTCAGTCTCATACAAAATGTATCACTTATTATAAATAAGATATTTAAGGGCTACTTTCTAAATTCCTTTAAATAAAACATTAAATCTAACCTATTGATCTCAACCTGAAACATATCTTGACCAACTACAGAGTCAATCAATTACATGATGTTTTGGATTCATTGTTATCGTCAGCAGGTGACAAAAATGCCTGTCTTGAGACATTTTAAAACTTGGTTACCTTCCAGTGTTTGGCAAAAGAGGCCACTCTGACATCCCTGAAATCTTTGAGTAGGGTAGGGAGGTGGAGAGTTGTTAACCTGATCTGTTCTGTACAGAGAGCGACAATCCGAGGCTTCCTCTAGACATGAGTATCGCGGAACTCCTGCCGAGCCCTCCGCCTCCACAAGAGGAGAAAACCAGCAGGGGGACCCTCATCACATATTTGCCTTTATACTGAATGTATAAAGGCAGCGGGATAACACTGAGCCACATTTCAGTTTGAATAAGACAGACAGAAATAATTTCTTCCAGGAAAATACACTGTGGAGGTTCTCTGCCTGACTGTTATCACATTCCCATAAAAAGATTGTCAGATTTATATAACATATTTGGTCATCTTTAATTTTCTCTTGTATTTATATCTCAATCGGTCATCGGTGGGGCCACACGGCCTTACCATGTTGCCATGTGTTTTTCCTGTTTGTTAACAATGTCATACTTTGAGCATTTTGTCTTGTCCCACGTATAGGAATACACCAAATCGTTCAGATGTATTTAAATTAAATAACTTTTGAGGACTACATAATAGCTGCAGATGGTATAGATTTAGGCTGCAGAGTGAGAACAGTTTCACATCAATTGTCAAGAAGTACAAAATACCCATGATACCCATCATAGACATTACCCATGAAACTGTGGGGTACTTGCTGTCAGCTTCTCTCCATCCCTGAGGGGTGCTTGTGAAATGTATTTTTCTAGTTTAAGATTATGGGAAACATCTAGTAGGAATATCTGGCACAATATCACCTACTCCCAAGGCGGTTGGAGAAGGGAAAATGTTTGACCCCCTACATTGTGAAAACTGGAGGAAATGGCAACAGTTCACAAAAATCAAAAAAGGATGCAGGAGGCTTAATTGATGACCATGGACCCAGACTCACTAATCTATAGGTAATCAACATGTTCTCGGTTAGATTGCAGTGCAGGCTTGGCTCCTAATCTCCACAAGCTATTCAATGAACACTTTTGTTGTGAAACATGTAATAAATCGTTTGTTAGGACTATGACTACAATTCCTAAAGTGAATTCACCCCAGTTAAAAAAAAAAGCACATTTTCTCACTTACCACTAGTTGTTTCCAGTAGTATTGAAGTTATTCAGAGAGCCAACTCTGTCAGTGTTGTCAATTTCAAAACAATGCTTCCATCTGATTCTTGTTTGTCCAGCACAAGAAACTTTGTTGTATTTTTCTTCCTTATGTAGAGTTTGTGTTGGAGTCTGTCTTTTCGGTTTTAACGGACTCTGTGTTGTTAGCTGCAGTGGTGTGGGTGTGTGTACAGTATATCAGTAGGTGGGAGGCTCGGGAGTGAATGAATTTCCCAGAAAAATCAACCCAGAGTGTTCACACAACTTTTCAAGTAGTGGTAATTTGAGTAAACCTCAACTTAAATATAATACATTTTTTAAAAAACCTTTAATTTCTGCATACTGTCATAACCTGGCTCAAGGGTCACGACAAAAGAGGGAACGAGGCAGCATAAATGATCAAAAAGTGATTTATTTAACAAGAGAGTGAACTAAACATAACTATTTAATTGTGCAAGGTTTGTCGCTGTAACATAAATAACTCAAAGCAAAATATGGCAGTCACGATGGTTAGGCCACAGTGGACGTCTGGGTTGCAGAGAAGGCAGAAGCCCCAGTAGTTTGCCCAAGTGGAGCTTTATCTCCCGACTCAAAGGTTCACCCAATCAGCAATCACCTCAACAAAACAAAGATGGTTAACAGCGGTGAGGTATCACTCCCACAGAGTGGCCTCACAATACTAAATTACATTAATTGATTCTTAACAATTCCACTAATTTACTCAATAAATGTAATTGTGCACAACTTATACTACAATTGTGCTAGACTCAAATACTAATGGAAACTCACTCAACAAAATTTCTACTAGTAAGCTTGACAAGCATTTTCAGATAGTCCTGAAAAATACAACTGCATTACTACAATTCAATTTCTCTTTATTAGTATCAAAACCTTAAACAACTGTCATTTCTACATTGACACAAAATAAGGCACATCGTGCATAAAGCTGAATAGACTGATTATCAAAATTGCTGGTTAATTATCTGATCAGTCAATTAATTCAATTTGTTTTCATGTTGAACATTCTCCATGTCCAGATCCTTAATGAGATTTCTTGGTATTAAGTAATAACTTGAGCTAAATAAAATTTCCTTTTACTACTTTAGTGTGTTGAGGAAAAAGAGACTATGCATAACTTTATTCCATCAGCAGCACTTTTACTTAATATAAAAGGGAGCTTTAAATGTAGAGTTTTAAGCAAATAAAGTCTAAAATAAGTCCCACAAAATGCAAATTGTTAAGTCAGGTAGACAGATAACTGAATAAAAAGTTTCTGCAGGTTTCAACTGGTCAAATTTAAGAAAACTATGAATGAAATTTAAAACCCAACATGACTTACCAGAAACACACAAAGGAAATGCAGTCACACAGTTACTTGAAGAGTAAATCACTATTCAAATTAGTGTTGAGTGATAAAATACAAAATTGCCATTGGACAATGTTAACAATGCCTGCTGGCTGTTACAGAGAATGCAGGTTTGAGGCTTCACTTTTCAAACCTTGGTGAAGACGCAAAGCTGCTTCCGGTTCCACAAATCAGACAATATCAAATTTCTGTGTGGTTTCGAAACAGACCAATCAGAGAATGAGACGCAGATTCAGGTTGTCCTCACACAGTGCCAGGTGGAGCTGGGGCTATATACTGAGGCGCTCGCCTCCTTATTGGTGGTTGGTGGAAGTGAGGAGGCCGAACACTTGGGAGGCTTGGTCTGGGAGTCCTCGTACTCCTCTGCCCAGGCAAACAGGTTGCTTTACCTGTAGGAGGAGAAAGTGATATCAGCTGCCGTAGTGATTTCACCCGTCAGTGTGTGTACCTCATCTTGTAGACCTCGTCACAGCTGGCATGAACGTGCTGCAGAGCCTGAAGCATTGGGTCTGAGTGAAGATTGGCAGAGAATGACACAATCAGCTATCAGTTAAATACCTCCTGAAGCAATCAATAAGCCTGTGTAGTGACAGCTGTTCTTGGTGGTGCTCAGCCTCAGGTTGTCCATGAACTCCAGGATCTGTTCCAGGGTGTGCCGAGCCAGTTTACTGCTGAAACTGAAGACTGAGACAACCGCTGTTCAGGTACCCAGAGACAGTCCTCACCTGTCTGTCTTGGTCTGTCCTCACCTCTCTTGGACAAAGATGCGAGGACAGGTGTCCTCTGAGAGTGTCTCATTGAGGATGCTGAGCACAGAGTCCTTCCTGAACATCACCGGGCTCCTGCAGCTACAACATAGAGTCCTACTCACTGAACACAAACTGGATCAGAACCAGCCTAAAGGTTCTGCAGAGGTGAGTCCTGATCAGCTGTTACCTGTGTGGAGTTGATGACAGCTACAATCATGTTGAGCAGCTTGTCGCTCCACAGAGTCTCATCTGGGAACTGAAGAGACAGAAACATTCAGATCTGGATCTGAATGGTCTGGAGCGAACTTAACTTCATCTTGGACATCTCGCTCTGCTGGCTGCTGTGTGTAGGAGCCAATAGAGTAGCAGAGGCTGTAGCCTGATGATAAACAGTCCTGGGCCTGTTTAATACCGTTTCAGTGCCATCATTAGCCTTCTTATCCATCGCATCTCAAGACAGATCAGACGCTCGAGAAATAACGTTACTTTATAGGACCCACTAGTCTCAATAGCAGTATTGAGAAGCTCAAACTTTGATTTTGAGAAATGTTGGATCCGGGTACTTTTAGAACGGGGTCTCGATCCCCATCCCTACTTAGCGCTAGCCAAACTTATTAGCATGTTAGTTAGCTCGCCAGTTAAATAATTTCACCAACCAGGGACATTAGTAGAGCTGGGCGGTATACCGAGATCATTTCAAAAGAGATAAAAATTGGACAACGCAGTTTATACCGATATAGTTTATGGTTGATTGAATTAATGTTTTGTAAAGTCCTGCAAGCGTTGCTCCTCTGTCCCTCACCGTAGCCTACTTATGGAGAAAGTTACCAGGGAGAGACAGAAAGCGGGGCACACTGACGTGTTTGTAGCAGAGGTACGTGAGGTCTGTGAGTGTGAAGAGAACTGAAGGAAGCAGATTAAATAAGTGAGTGAGCCTTGAGTTCCTACAAATAAAAACATGCCCCTAAAACCGACCCATATCACGCAGCCCTAACATTTAGAAATAAAAATAATGTCCGTGGGGATTAAAACATGCTTTTGCAGGGTGTAAAATGTGAAGAATTTTCAATAAAGAATTAAAGCTGCAAGCAGCTTTGGGCGGGCCCTCGCACGTGTAGCGCGTTGGGGCACGAGGCGGCCGAGTTGCATATTCCGGAGCTCTGCCGGTGCGGCTGTGAATTTTCTATGCGCTTCGGACGCTGCATGAAGGTGTTATATGTCACTTCCTGTGTCACCTTTGTGGCACTGCATAGCACTTGGCGCTATGAATATAAATTGCCGTGTAGATGTGTTTGGGGCAGGACAGTTATCAAGTATGTAAAGTTTTGTGGAGATGTGAGCACTTACACTGAAGTTACAACAACTTCCTGTGTCATGGCTGCTTCACTTCTCCAGCCCTTTGGGAACAACAGACTTTTGTTGGTCTGGAGAAGCTGAAGCATTTATTACCTGACACACCGACACTGTACTTTTACTGCCAGAATATTTTCCTCCTGAGATTCACTGTCACTCGGTCAATCCAACACTATGAGATTAAAGGAGCCTAACAGCACCTGTTAGGTAGACGTCCTGCAGGGTTTCCGCGAGGTCTTAAAAAGTCTAAAATATCAAAATCAAAATTTAAGGCCTTTAAAAAGTCTTAAATTCGCTGAAGTTTGTGTTCTAGGTCTTAAATAATTTTAACTGAGTATTTATTTTCCAACGTCCATGTAACTCTACCTCTAATGCTCATTGAAATGCCCCCGCAGCGCTCAAGAATGTTTTTTCCTCCCGTGGTGGTGTATTACTTTCTGTCGCTAGTCCAAATTGGTCCAAATATAATTTACTGTATTACGACTACAAAGAACAGGCAGCTTTCGTGTTATTGCCACAAGTCTCTTTCAGATTGTACCACAGATATAAAACGGATTTATACACTCACCTAAAGGATTATTAGGAACACCTGTTCAATTTCTCATTAATGCAATTATCTAATCAACCAATCACATGGCAGTTGCTTCAATGCATTTAGGGGTGTGGTCCTGGTCAAGACAATCTCCTGAACTCCAAACTGAATGTGAGAATGGGAAAGAAAGGTGATTTAAGCAATTTTGAGCGTGGCATGGTTGTTGGTGCCAGACGGGCCGGTCTGAGTATTTCACAATCTGCTCAGTTACTGGGATTTTCACGCACAACCATTTCTAGGGTTTACAAAGAATGGTGTGAAAAGGGAAAAACATCCAGTATGCGGCAGTCCTGTGGGCGAAAATGCCTTGTTGATGCTAGAGGTCAGAGGAGAATGGGCCGACTGATTCAAGCTGATAGAAGAGCAACTTTGACTGAAATAACCACTCGTTACAACCGAGGTATGCAGCAAAGCATTTGTGAAGCCACAACACGCACAACCTTGAGGCGGATGGGCTACAACAGCAGAAGACCCCACCGGGTACCATTCATCTCCACTACAAATAGGAAAAAGAGGCTACAATTTGCAAGAACTCACCAAAATTGGACAGTAGAAGACTGGAAAAATGTTGCCTCGTCTGATGAGTCTCGATTTCTGTTGAGACATTCAGATGGTAGAGTCAGAATTTAACGTAAACAGAATGAGAACATGGATCCATCATGCCTTGTTACCACTGTGCAGGTTGGTGGTGGTGGTGTAATGGTGTGGGGGATGTTTTCTTGGCACACTTTAGGCCCCTTAGTGCCAATTGGGCATCGTTTAAATGCCACGGCCTACCTGAGCATTGTTTCTGACCATGTCCATCCCTTTATGGCCACCATGTACCCATCGTCTGATGGCTACTTCCAGCAGGATAATGCACCATGTCACAAAGCTCGAATCATTTCAAATTGGTTTCTTGAACATGACAATGAGTTCACTGTACTAAAATGGCCCCCACAGTCACCACATCTCAACCCAATAGAGCATCTTGGGGATGTGGTGGAACGGGAGCTTCGTGCCCTGGATGTGCATCCCACAAATCTCCATCAACTGCAAGATGCTATCCTATAAATATGGGCCAACATTTCTAAAGAATGCTTTCAGCACCTTGTTGAATCAATGCCACGTAGAATTAAGGCAGTTCTGAAGGCGAAAGGGGGTCAAACACAGTATTAGGGTGGTGTTCCTAAAAATCCTTTAGGTGAGTGTACTTCACCAGTGCAACCTTATTGGTTGTTGGATGGAAAAACAGATCTTGGGGCTTAAAACCAATCTCTAGCAACGTTTTTGAAACCTACTGTTGCTGCTTAATGAATGAGTGCCGCTATTAAAATTTCACATGATCGTCAATGATTGACAGTAAGCTACGGTAACACTCAACGCATGGCTGTCTCCCTCTCCTCATGTCATCGTCCATCCCGCTGTTTCATTGTTGACATCGTCCGATGCCAATTTTGTAGACATCACTAAACCCTAATTTGAATACATTTATTTACTCTGCAAGTAATTTTGTGACTGAATGTCCTTTGTCCTTTAAATTTCTTAAAGTCTTAAATTTGACCAGTTGAAACCTGCAGAAACCCTGATATTGTTCCATTAACTCATCTGCCTGACTTGCATTGTGTGGGACTTCTTATTTTAAACAATCTTTATTTGCTTATGATTCCATAAAACTACACATTTAAAGCTCCCTTTTATATTATTTAAGTGCTGCTGATGGAATAAAATTATACATAGTCGCTTTTTCCACAAAACACAGTAAAGTAAGTAGTAAAAGGAAATTTTATTTAGCACAAAAGACTTTGCTCAAGAGATTCACTTAACACCAAGAGAGCTTATTAAGAATCTGGAAATGGAGAATGTTCAACATTATTGCAAAAAAGAATGAAAACAAATTGATTATCAAAATTGTTGCTGGTTAATTATCTGATCAAGCAGTCAGTTACTTCAGTCTATTCAGCTTTATGCACGATGTGCCTTATTTTGTGTCTGTTAAATGTACAAATAACAGAAGATGTTTAAGGTTTTGATACTAATAAAGATAAATTGAATTGTAATAATGGAGTTGTATTTGTATTTTTCAGGACTATCTGAAAATGGGCATTTTGTAAATTTCAAGTTTACTAGTAATTTTGTTGAGTGAGTTTCCATTAGTACTTGAGTCTAGCACAATTCATTGTTTTTAGTAGATTTCCCTCAGAGTAAGTTGTTCACAGTTACATTTATTGAGTAAAGAATTAGTGGAATTTAATGTTAATAAGCATCAGTTAATGTAATTTAGTATGCAGAAATTAAAGGTTTTATATTTAAGTTAAGGTTTACTAAAAAATATTATTACCACTACTTAAAAAGTTTGAGGTAATCAGTTTCCATAAATATTTTGAGTATTCTGAACTTATTTAGGTATACAGTGTAGTCCCTTTAAATGCCTGTTGCTGATAAAATCAACATGGATTATATAAACACATGTATCCAGTAGAGGAATTTTTCCTTGTTTGCCCAGATCACCCGTCCCCACCACCAGCACCATACACGCTCCTCTGTTACAGCTGCAAATTAGACTGTGAAATTGACAACTCGTGTTGCCATCTGGTTGCTATGACACCTAGTTATTAGGCCTTCTGACAGTCGTAGCTCAGCTTGTTTGTTCCGTCTTCCCTCTCCTGCACATCAACATTGTTTGCAATATTAAAAAGGCATGAAACATCAGAAGGATGGGTTGAGAGTGGGCTGATAACCGTTCTCTTCAGTGGTGGTGACTTCCAGCTAACATACAGCACATGTAATATATTATCTGTCACCATGTTCAGTCACTAGCACATCCTCTAGTGCTCCAAAATCCTAGAAAAACAAAGCAGGCAGGCATCAAGCATCATTACCATCAGAGCAAGGAGGACACCTTAAACATGATGACATACTCTTGTGACTCAAAAAGAAAAATGTTTCCCCTTAATGTATAATTTCTCCCTTTGATTTCCCTAGTGATTTCTGCAATTCCTCTGAGCTGCACGGAGCTGTACAAGAGTCTAATTTCCACACATTTCAGCACCTGTCTGGACCACATTGAGACTTTAATGCTCTACTGATCAGTGAGACGATTAATGCAATTTAAAAGCTCTTTTTGTTGGTCTGTGCATTGGAATCTCCTTCATCCTCAAAACTGCTGGGCTGGCAGGGTGTTCCTCTTCTCCTCAGGATGAAAGCCTCATGAGCTCATGTCCCCTGGAGTTAAAGTGCACAGGGCAGACATGGCCTTTTTTATTTTTTTGTCAAGGACTGCTATATCCCACACAGATAGCCCAGGGACTGTGCTGCAGTCTGGGAGTGATGGGGGTGGGGTTGGCGTGGTGGCGTGACTCATGCAGCTCCCCCCTTTCATCTTGACATTTGACATACTGATGTAGAGGATCTCAGCTGGAACAAATACGGTGTCACAGCTGCAGTGTCTGTGCATCTGAGCCTGTGGCGTACAGAGCCGAGAACAGGTAACAATGAGTCAGCGCCTATTTAATTCATACACCTACGCTGTGAATCTCGGGGGGGGGGTTGTTTTCAAGCTGATTTTGTTTTTCTTCTTCAGTCTGTTCCCCACTGAAAATTCAACATCTCCCTATGCTACCTAACATTCCGTGAAAGTCATTCTTGCTTTAGCTCTGCAAGGACTTTTGGAAAAGTTGAACTGGAGTGCACAATGACATTTTAAAAACCCCAGTGCAAGAGACAAAGCTGCGCAACAACTATTAGGCTGAATCCTGTAAAGCATTCGGTAATCCATTCTCATTGAACTCTTTCCCTGGACAACAGGGATATTAAACTGTGTTTGGCTATATGTTACCACAAACACAAATGATACTGCTGAAGAGTGAGTGATGCCAGAGGGATTCTAGTTCCTAATGAACCCCACTGAGACCTCTCACCATCAGGCCCTTCGGCCCTCTGCCCTGTCTCACCAGGGTGGATAAAGCACCTCAGCAAGCAGCACAGCACAATCAGACCACACAGACTCACATCAGGCAGCTGAAAGGTGGATGTTGACAAGCGCCTCAGAGGAGATGCTGGCCCACACTTCCCCCAGATCTATTAATTGGTAAGTCCCCCAACAGGCCACTTCCACTCTGCACCAGTGATTCAAAATGATCTCTAAAATTAGTTGGGAGAAAACCAGGGAGAAAGGAGAATCAAAAACATAAAGGAACCAGTCTTTTTTAATCATCTCCTCTTCAAACCATTTCATCTTTAGATTCACCCTCTCTGACACAAGGGATTAACTTCAAATATATGTTACCAAAAACTAAATCATATAATACTAATAATAATAATTTGATATCACTATTATGTATTAGGTTCTACTATGTACAATCCATTTTATTTTATGGTACTCTGCAAAGCACATTGTATCTTGTTTGACCTCAAAGACACATGAAAGGCAGTGTTACAGCATAATCTGTCTCATCAAATTCTGTGACGTTTCCTAGAAATTTTAGCCATAGTAATTTAAAAAATAAAGGTATGTTTCTAATAACATGTCTTAAATAAGCATGATATCCTCTTTAGAAAAAGTATGTTAAAAATGTACAGTATATAATACACCATGTATTACTGTCTATCTGGAGAGTCAGAATGAGTCCATCATATTAAACATTAAGACTTCTGTGATAATTAGAGATAAATAATAAAGGCTTCATGACAGCCCTGTGCTCTGCGTAGCTACAGAACATTGAGCCCATTAAAGATAAAGGTTCAGAGGTATTGGTCAGCATTTCAAATGAACAGCAGAGACACAAGATAACCTGGAACATAAAGGAACACACACAGTTCTACCATGTTCAACTGTACTGAGGTTAGAAGGTCAATTTAAATAAAAAAAACTTACTCTTCTGCAGACAGTTTAAAAATCTGTCTTTCATCTTTCTCAGCACAAATTGGCATGCACTGTGTCAAAGTGTTGAAGTTGAACTAACTCAGAAAATTCAGAGCTGTCTGATTACAAACACACACACAGAGCTTAGTCACATCCCTTTGTTAAAGCTGGCCTCTGTTCCTCTGCCTGACAATTTATTTTCTGAGGAATTCTGTCTTTTTGAAAAGACGAAAGAGGGTTTATTGTACGTATATAGTTAACGGGTACCTATCCTACTGTACTGGAAACTTAAAATCTGGTACAGCTTTCAAATGCCCATAGAAGCTGTAGTTGTTTAATGCTAACAAAATATCTTCATATAATTTTATCTTTAGTGCAAACTTTTGACCTATTGCCAAGTAGGTTTACACATACATGTATTCATTCTGTTCTCCTCGGCTCAGAGAGAGAGAGAGAGAGAGAGAGACGCCTGTAGGAGATAAACAAGACCTTTTTTCTTATTCCACCTTGTCCAAACCACAAGCAGGCCATTCGACAGTCGACGGGAGGCTGACCAAAGTGCTGACGGGATAACACAGAGGGGAAGTTTGGGGAAGTTTGGTGCAGTTAATGAAGAAGAAATGATTAGGGTGTCGTTTGCTTGGTCACTAAACATATCTGCAAAGTGAATCTTTTCTGGTCGTGTGTGGCCTACAATCCAAACAGGGTGTGATGTCTGTCACAATGACTGAAGCTGTATTAGCTTCTGAAGCTAGGTAACTGTGAGGGAAAGGGCTTTTATTCCACAGTGGTGAGCTGAACGAGCATGCAGGCTGGAGGAGGCCCTGGTGGGCCCTGTTACAGACGTCAAGACCAAGGTGAGTCATGGTTGGCTGAAAAGGGCTTATTGCTTTACTAAGTGGCCTAAATAGCCTGATAATGAGGCTAAATTTATATTTCATTAATCAGCCTGACACTGGGTTAGCCAATTTCTCACTTGCTAGAGACGTATCTGTCACACCGCGGAGGAGATTTGCAGAAATGGAGGCTATCAGCTATAAAAGGGGATCAAATTATAGCTCAGAGCTGACTAAACTACTAATTTTCTTCCTGTTTACATCCCTCCAATTATGGGAATGATAATTCCAATTCCTAGAGCAAAATGATCCCCAAATCAATGTCACACTTGCACGTGGGGGCCCACAGTGTCAGACTTCCAAAAGCCCTGGTATAGAGAGTGGTCAAGACCTGTTAATGGATAAAGCCTCTGTAAAATATGAAAAAATGTTATAGTTATTATGTAGAATTACAAGTAGGAAAAGCACAGTAGAAAATAAGCAATTTGGTTATGAAACAAAACTCAGCAGCGTGACTTTGAGCATGTCAGTCCACTCACTTCATTTCACTCTGTGACATTCGGTAGTCTCAGTCAAGTGTTGAACGCACTTTTATTGTTTAGGTGTCAAATGTAACAGTGTCACCATTCAGAGAGGGAATAAAGAGTAAATGGTCACATAAAAAAATATAAAATCAACAATGAAAATGGTTACTCAGGGAAAGTCTGGTTCCCGTGGCAACACAGATGTACAGTTGAGACAGTGTCCAGATCCAGACGTGTATGTGTTTGGTTTGCACATTTCCACAGCCTATATTAAACTTAAACAGTCCTTTTTTTGTTTACTAGCCATGCATACAGTTGACAATTCCACATGTGTTGAGTCAGTGTCTTCACAGGAGCTGGCACCTTCAATACAAAATATTTACACTACCATTAATTAATCTTATCATTGCCGTCGTCGTTACTATTTGTTACTATGGATTTGAACACTCTGAGCACATAAAGAACGGGATCAGTATGTTGTAACACTTGAGCACCCCATTTCATATTGATACCGGAGGAGAAAATGAAATGTAAAGTATGACAAATGTTGGCATCTTCACTTTAAATGTCACCCATTCCTGAAAATCGTCTGTAGAGATATTCAAACACTAAAAAGATGAACCCTTTGTCCCATCAGGATGAAACAGTTAGTTACATTACTACTCGGCAATCTGCTGTCAAGCGTCCCCCAGAGAGGGAAAACAAAACATCACACGATATGTGAAAGACTCTGCAATATTTACTACTGTATCTCAAAGTGAGAAAACAGGAAAGAGATGACTGCACCAATGTTTCAAGAAAGAAACTGACTTATCCACCGTTTTCTCTCCATTCCTTTTTTAACTGAAGAAAAATATAAGAAAATGGAGGAGCTTTCAGGTCACCTCTTTGGTTCAGCCCTGTGATGAGTAGAAAAACCTCTCACCAACCACTGCGGAAAATAAGCTGGGAGAAATATTGTACATACTATAAATGAAATATACATTTCATATTTAAACAACTGGATCCAAGAAATCTGTTATTGGATTTGTGTACAGTAGCTACTTGAGTCATGGCAACAAAAGCATGTTGGTGTTTTGTGTGAAAAAATTTTTTCATCATTTATAGCAGATTGTAGAGCGACCTAAAGAGTAAAGATCCTGACTTGTGATTCTTCAGCTGATGATTTTCACCCACAACTCAAAGGATTAAAACAAACCCAAACAACAAACGACAGTAACATAAGGCGAGGGCATGTCTCCTTATCGTCATTTGTCAATTTCTCTTGCGGCAAATTCCTGGCATTCCTCCTTCACAATGTATTCATGACTCAAATGTCGTTATTAAGAATCATGTCACTGCTGATTTTATGCTCCATAGAGTTAAAATCCATTGCGTTCAACCGTGAATTTATCTTCCGTTTAATTGGCGCGCGTGTGTGCGTGTGTGTGTGTGTGTGTGTGTGTGTGTGTGTCTCTTAAGTGTGTATCTCTCTGCTGCGAGTCGAAGTAGCTTCCTCTAAGTAGACTTTTTGCCTGGCCCGTTCCTGGAGGCCCCCGGGGCTATTGTATATTGCAAGAGGAGCAGCAGGGGTCATCCTTGTCTGGCTGGGCGGCGTAGTCCATCTGCCGAACTATCTCTGCGAACAGTTCGTCTACCATGGTTTTGCTCTTGGCCGAGGTCTCCATGAAAGGGCAGCCCCACTCCTCGGCCAGGGCCTGACCTTCGCTGGACGATACCTCCCTCTCGCTTTCCAAGTCCACCTTGTTCCCCACCAGAATGACAGGAACCTTCTCGTACCTGAAGACAGACACAGACCCACATCGGATTTTCAGATAGATGCATGCGTGAGAATAACATATACTCAGCAGAGGCTCATGCAGAGAAACCATATGGATGCAATCAGTGGGTTTTTGATTGCTTATATTGTCACTGAACTTAATAATGACTGAATAACTGAACTTACAAAGTTCACAAATCTGTATTTAGTGTGATGTTCAAAGTCCCATGATAAAAAAATCTAATTTCTGTTATCAGATCTAATCAATTGGTTTCTGACTTCATGTAGAGCAAAATTTAAAGAGGTGGTATTATGCTTTTTGGCTTTTCCCCTCTCCTTTATTGAGTTATATCTCTTTTTTTGTGCATGTAACAGGTTTGCAAAGTGAAAAAGCCCAAAGTCCAGCCCAAAGGGAGCTCCCATCTCCCACAGAAAACTCTGCTCTGAACCGCTTGAAAACAGCTCGTTTGTAGTCCAGTCCTTCACTTCCTTTACTTGTGACATCACAATGAAAACGCGTCATAAAGCTTGCCAAGCGGCTAGCAGGGTCAGGCATGCCCTCAAACCAAGCTAGTCTGAGCGGAGGCCCTTTGGCTCGACTCGCCTTTTGGGTTTCCACTGTAGAAATGTTGTACCTGTACCCATAGATATCCATAATAAAGGCTAGATGTCTCGTCCGTGCTGCTGGCCAGTGGAGGTCGACGTCTGCACCTGGCGGCCATCTTGTCACAGGCAGCTCGCTCACTCGTAACATTGTGCTTTAATGGTGCATGTACTTTTTAAATTACCATAACTTCCTCAATTTTCTAACGATTTTCAAACGGTTTGGTTTGTTATAAACGTCAGAGATGTAGTTATGACTTATGAATAATTATAACCATGGACTTTCATATGAAAATAACATTGAACAGAACAGATAGGTGCAATGAATATACACGCACAAGGTATTTATGTTAAATCAATATATATAGTATGTGTGTGTGTGTGTGTATGTATGTATGTATGTATGTATGTATGTATGTATATATGTATATATATATATATATACACACACATATATATATATATATATATATATATATATATACATATATATATATATATATATACATACATGACATGTATATATACATATACAGAAATATTTGCATGTATATACTGTATATAGACTTGTATATGTATATGCCAGACCTGGTCTGTATGTATATATAATTTATATTTTATATAAATATAAACATTTTATATAAAAATAACACATTTTTCTTAAATATATACATGTGTGTGCATTTCGAATTTCAAATCGTTATTGGTGTCAGTAAAACCTATATAATTGAACAGCTCGATTGTGGTCTCAGCCTTGATAACTTAAGCAAGTAGCCGTGATACATAAATATGCTACACGATTAAGTCGCTTCTCGAAAAGAAAATCTGCAATTTCAACATGTTCAAGCATCCAGAATTATAGCCACGTTAATAACGTTTGTAAGAAACCGTCAAGATTTCAACGAGATAAGAGTATTTGTGTTCGTGCTTATCACTCACCTTACATTAGATGATGGCCGCCGGTGATGACGATAGAGACTCCGCCGTAAGACATCTAGCCTTTATTATGGATATCTATGCCTGTACCTGCTTCCAGGTCTTTTTTTCATATCACCTTACCTCATCGAGGTTCCAAGCGAGCTGAGAGATACTAAACTGTAACGTGAAAACACAACAGACTGCTGATTGGTCAGAGAGAATCGTCACTAATTCACTGCATCATCATTGCTGCACCAGACAGAGGCCAGCAACAGAAAGTTTTATATTTTACAGTTTTCATATGGAATTTCATCACTAAATCCACTTCTGAGAAGTTTTGAGGTGAGAAATCAGCTGTGTAGATTTCGAATATTGACAGTTTTACGAGAAGTGATGGCGGAACAAAAACGTGCTTGAATATTTTCGGAGTTGAGGAGCTCCGCAAGTGGCTGCGGGGGAAGCCTGTACCAACCCGCGGGAGGAGCGTGTGAGGCCGGCCAGCCGCCCGCTCACAGAGCCCTCTGCTCCCGCCGTCACACAGACCGCTGCAGCAACAACGGCAGAGGAAAACACAGCTGGAAGGTTTTCATACCGCTTATCTGTCTTTACATTCTGAGTAATGTTGAAACGTTTAACTTAAAAAAGAGAAAGCTGTGTGGATCGCTGGTGTGTGTGTCGCATTGAACATTACGTCGCGGCACTTGTGTGTGGCGTCGCTATGACGACAAGCTACGAACTATCTCTGGGTACTATCTGCAATGGAAAACGGAGCAGGGCCGAGTTTGCGCTATGGTAGCATTTTTGGGCAAGGCAGCATAGATCGTCACAACACCGGCAACAGCTCAGCGTTTAATCCTGATGGTAAGATGCGGAACAATGATGTTGTGGACTGGTAATAACTTATACCATCTGCTAGGTTACGGTCTCAGTCTGAAGCAGTTTTTGATTTGGATCACACTACCTTGCTTCTTACGACCCGCCCTCCTCTGTTTCTGACTGGCTAGTAGTCCTTACGTGGGAACTGCGCATGTGCAACTCCCAACAAAGATTTTGTACAAGTAAGATGCGTCACTCTGTAGCTCAAGAGCGGAGCGTACAACACAGGGTGAAAAGAGGAGCTGCAGCAATGTGCAGTATGAGAAAAATATGGTGTTTTTTCAAAATTAAACCATGTAAACCTGTTCTGGTACAACCCCTAATTAAGATTTTGAACCTGAAAATGAGCACAATACCACCTCTTTGAATATATTTGTTAAGTATTCCTAATCCATTGATATTACCAAGATTATATAGATGATGATAATGATACATGACAATTTTACATTCTCATCTAGCCTTACTTTCATTTTCACAATTTGCATTTCTACTGTATTACCATGTTTATCTACACTAATGCAAATAAATATGAATAATAAAATGTCAGCTATCTTCTTCTTCCCTTGTGTGGTAGTTGGGAGTCTTAATGGTGCATAATGGCACTTTTATTTATGATGCACATTTCATTACAAGTGTCATCTCATCTCTCTCTGTGACTGACTGCTTAAATGTTGATAGGTTTCAATATAGTTGAATAAACATTAACATCTCTTTCTGGTTCTACTCAGTATAAAGTAATGATTTGATGGATAATCATAAATGGCTGCTGTTGACCAAGTGTTCTAGTAATTCCTAGACTTAAGCTTTGAGGCATCTGAACATCATATTTTTGTACAAGTGCTGTCATTGTACTTTCAGATGAAAGCTAACATCAGCATGCTAAAAGGCAAAATGAAATGGTAATATACTGATGTTTAGGAGGTATAATGTTTACCATGTTAACTATCATAGTTTAGTGTGTTAGCATGCTAACATTTGCTAGTAAGTTCTGAATATAAGGTATAGCTGAGGCTCATGGGAATGACGATAGTATTTGGTCATTAAACAAGTTATTGGACAAATAAAATGTGGCCCTAAGAAAAATTAGGGGATCACCAAAGTCATTAGGATTTATCACGAACAAAATAGCCACTCCTAGGGCCAGGTCACCGTTGCTAAAAATTCAATACTACAAAAAATTGGGATGAAAACAATACTAAGTGGATTTTGATTATTTCAAGGGGCCCTGGCACACACTCTGAAAGTCATTTGTGCTTTCTTACTACCATCTGTCTCCCTCTTACCTTTCTTTTCACTTTCTATTACAGAAAATGTTTTCTGTAATGTTTTCTGTAGGCTGTCCTCATTGTAAGAGCACTTTTGTTTGCTGTTGACATGCAGTCAAAACTTCCTTTTGCAGCAGGAAGCAACTATTTTTTAAATGTGTGACGACATTACATCTGCCAGAAAATCTGTTTAAAGCTGACTGTTTCATTACAGGAACCCAGATGTTTTGTGACAATCTGTAAGATAACACAAAAAACAGGCCTTAAAAATAAGCAAATTGGAGGTAACTTCCCAACATTTCAGCACAGGTTTACAATCTGGCAATCATTTGTCTGATGTTTTTGAAAAGCTCAGTTTCCCCCATCCACATTATCTGTCTTTTTCAGAATCACCAACATGTATTTTCAAAAAGCATATTTGGGTGCAAAACATGGGCTATAATGGATGGAAGGCTAAAATGGAAAGAAAAAGATGTGTTTCTACTTTGGTCTTTGACTGTGGGGAGAAGCTGTTCACATAAAGAACACAACCAGCACCTTCTTGCAATAGGGAATTAACATTGAAAGCCGTTCTGCCTCATGTAAGCACCAAGTCTAAAGCCTGACCCAGTAGAGAACAGGAAATGGGTAGTAGAGTGCTGACCCCTTAGGGTAGGAAATGGCCATAATCCTCTGAGCTCTGAACTCCCTGCCATGTAGCTGTAGGAAAACACGTCACCGCGGAACTGGACTACTTAGTGGACAGCCAGAAGAGACGCTCAGTTCAATTAAATAGGCTACTGCACTATAATTATCAAAAGGAGCGGCTGTGACGCAGTTTCACCAATATAATCACTACATCGGTTTTGATATTGGGAAGCATGGCGGGCCTCTGAGGCAGTTTGTACACATCAGAAGAGACACTAAGATCAAAAACATCAGACATGGCAGATCATGCGTATTCACATCCTTTGTACACAACAGGTTGTTATTCCTTTCATCCTTATCTGTGTGTGAGGCTTGCAAGGGAGCACTTTCCGTCTGTTGGAACCATCGTTTGATACAAGTTTAAATGTCTCTGTTCACGACACTTAGCAACATCCTCACATCTAACTAGAGTCATGCACCCGAACACCTCTCAACATCATTAGGGTTTTCAAATGCTCCCCTCGCTCTATGAAATATACATGCACTTAAATTATTGATAGAAAATCATCCTCATCCTTGATTTCTATGGTAACAGGTATACAAGGAAATAAATAATTCCGGAGAGATGGGGAGACTGCAGAAAAAGGAAGGGTGATACTTTTCCAAGTCGAGCAGCCTGAGCATCTTTCAGAGGCCAGGGGCTGCAGGTTTTCAGCGTTAAAATGTGCTTA